TAGAGATGTGGGAGGGATTTTTATGTGTTGTCTTAAAGATTGACGCTCAGTAGAAAATTATCTGCAAAACACTCTTAAACCAAATTTCAGGATCCCTCTTAAACAATTTTAAAACTGCTATTGTCTTTCCCAGCTGACAAGTCTGTATCACCATAATTGCCAAGACAATGGAAAAGATACACCTTGCCTAAGCATGTAAACCTTCCCAGCACAGCTTGTCCACTGAGTAATGTCACCTGCTTTAGTCCAGTGTGGCTGCATTCACACGCTACTGTATCTGTTATACTGTGCTGGGCCATGAGTAAAATATCACTCCTTTACCAGAAAGACTTAAGTAGCCATCTAGCTACCTGGTGGTATTCTTGGAGAGAATATTTTTTAGCACATGGCTTATTCAAATACAATCAATTGAGCACAGACCAGGCGGATGCAAAATAATCATTGAGTTATTGGCAATGATTTAATGGGCAGAAAAAGGGAGAAGCTATGTGCAACTATCTGGCAAATCCTGAGGTTGATTCTATGGTAGTACTGAGGGACCAACCATAGCAGGGGCAAGCTACGTTCTCAAAGGACGGAAGTTGGAGATGTGACTTGTTTCCTCAGCTAGGCCTGCCGATTAAAGCCTAATGCATTTCCAAACCTGGGTTATAAAGACTTTTTTTGGTGGCTAGGAAGACTTAGAGAGAAAATACCCAGGTCAGAGCTGGGCCAACTTTACAGAAGAGGAATATATTCTGTGAAATAAAATGACAATGACAATCTGGGTTGGTCAAATGGGGGAAAAAAGAATATGCACCTCCTGAACTATCTCGAAGATCATTACCTTAGCTCATTAAGCTCATGAGTCTTAGCTCATTAAGCCTCAGATAGTTACCATTACTCTTGCCACTGCCTACAAACAGGTTCAAATGACTGTTTAGATAATAAGATGGTGAAAATCCAAAGAAACCTGTAATTAACACCCAGGGTAGTGGCTGTCCTGAATATCAGAACAGGTGACCACAAAATACACTGCAATTCTTTTGTGTGTGTTTTTGTTGCCTGATAAAACACATTAACCTAAGTTGCAGGGGAGGGAATTATGATTAGGGAAAAAAAGAGATTCATTTTCACCAAGTTCAGTTTGTAGTAAAGTACTCTTAGCTGTTGCTTATTTGCTGCAGTACACTTTTTACAAAATAAAGCAACTTTTAACAGTGTCGCTATTTTGAATTGAACCTCCATGGTACAGGAGTGTTCTTCTCTGTATGGACAGAGGTTTAGATTTTAAATAGGTTTAGGACAGAGGTTTAGATATTTAAATTTGAGGTTTAGATTCGATATTAGGAAAAATTTCTTCACTGAGAGAGTCGTCAAGCATTGAAACAGGCTGCCCAGGGAGGTGGTGGAGTCACCATCACTGAAAGTGTTCAAAAAACGTGTGGATGTGGTGTTTTGGGACATGGTTTAGGGGGCATGGTGGTGTTGGGTTAACAGTTGGACTTGATGATCTCGAAGGTCCTTTCCAACCTTAATGATTTTGTGATTCTGTGACTGTATCATTTGTCTCTTATATTCTTGCTGTCAGATAGGAAATAACACAGTACATTGGCTCATGATAACTGTAAAACATCCAAAGGGGTTTTTTAATTTTTGGCTAAGAAAACCCTTAATAAAGGTACTTTTATATCCAGAAATCGTAAATACAGATTTATACTTCTGATTTCCTTCTAAATCAGTCTTTCTCCCACAGGATTTAGGGTTTTTTTTTTTCTCTAGCTGGGTCTGTGAGTGAAGTTTGCTCCCCCCCGACAAATATGTTTGTAATTTTGGTTTCAATGTTTTGGATGAAAGTTTAGCTTGACGAAGTCAATGGTGATTTCTCATGGTGATTTCAATCATGGTATAATCCTAGCCAGTCCCACTCCTACACTTCCCAGTTCTGATACCACATTATTTGACATTTTATAGCCTGGCTACACTGGACAGTGAGGAATCAGTCTCTTTCAGTCATGACCTCGGATTTGCTGCTTCACTTTTCAACACTCTCACAGCCTTCATTCTGACAGGAACCTAAGAACCAAGTGCCAAAAATGAAGACACTTCTAGTGTATTTCAGGAAAGAATACACACAATTCCAACACAGCATTGTAGTTTAATCTGTATGAAATCCATTTGCAGGAAGTCAACCATGCAATGTAACACATGTAGAAATAGGTGCAATTCCTATGTTCCTATGACGTGTCTGAACTTTTTTT